GAGAGAGAGAGAGAGAGAGAGAGAGTCACGTCATCAATGAAAATCGTCAACGCGGTCAGGGAGGACAAGCAAGTCGTCCTCATCCTCCAACTCCTCCTCCACTCGTGGCGTTTCCTCGGTGTCATTGTCCCCATCATCAGCCGCATCGACTGCATCTGTCGGCTGCGACGTGGCTGTGTCGCCGGGCACAGCCACAGTCAGTAGCTCATCGACCCAACTGCAAACAAACGGTTTTTGGAACACCCCCGCCGCCACCCTATCTCGCCAAGACCGATCGTGGGGCTGCAAGATCCTGCGGCGAACCGTCCGCTGACGATGCGTCACACTGCTTTCTTTGCGCCCCATGATGGCGACCGTCGGTTTCACAGCGTTTATATTCCAGTGCAAAATGGCACATGCAATACGAGCACAGAAGGATGCCCTGTAATGGATCCTCTTTGTCGCATACTTGTTCACAAGTGCGTGAAAACACTCACAATTGTGAGTGAATCGGTATCGCGTGTAGTGCATCATTTTTTTGGACGACGCAAAACTTCCAAGAAAATCTGAAACTGCTTTGGATGTTGGTCCGTCCTCCTCATACCGGGGACGACTGGTCGGTCCACCGACTATCCTGCAAACGTCTGTCAGACCGTGTGCAACACAGCCACTGTGGTTCCCCCCCCAATGCTTCACCAAAACCTGCATGTCAACGGCAATTTACCTCCCCAAAACTGCATTGTCTACGCACTCGCTCGTGCTACGGAGCTTGCACACGGCATAAAACCACTCTCAGAGGTCCTGCCCACATCCCGACCCAGCGAGCCYAGGGTGTGCCTTCCTCAACCCTGCCTCTGCATCAACATCCTCCTCGGCTTCGCTCCCATGCCGAGCAAACCATATTTTCCGTGCCAAATCCGCCACCTTGGCTGTGGACGGCACAGCCTCACCTCGTTCCCTCAACCACGTGCGAAGTTTTTCCTTACGGATTTTCTTCAGCTCTTCGTACGTGTCGCAATCATCGACTTCTTCGGGCAGCTCCCTCCTCGCCATACACAACTGTTCCTCAAATCGAGCCGCCAAGTTTTTCGCTTTGTGCCACATATCCTTTTGGTCCCGCAGCCCGAGTTCCTTCAAAACGGCAGAAACTGAAGCCTTGTCGTCATGGACCACTTCCTGTATCGGCAAGTTGTGCACTCGAAGCAAACGTATCAAGACATTCCGGGTTGCAGTGGTTTCCAATGTCCACGACGACTCCCCTGGCCGTTTTCGGATCGTCTCGACACCGAGTATTAGTCTGGTATCGTAATGCATAACTGTCACTGTACAGTGCGTTGCATCACGAGACGAGTCATACCGGCCGTCAAGAAGAACGGTTATGTTGGAGTATTCTTTCCGCACGCGCTCAACGGCCTCCGTCATATCTTTCTCAGCAGTCCGYTGGGCRACGTCACACCACCCACCGTTGAAGCCATACATGCCATGACTGAACATGTAAAACGACGTCTTGTGGACGCCGCGCATGCCCAGCGCAAGGCAAAAGTCGGTCAACGTGGTGTATCCCATTCCGCAGCTGAGGGCCGCATGATACATCTGGCCCGTCACTCGGCTACTCAACTTCGTGTTCTCCGGCTTTGATGAATGCCATACCCACTGACAACCTCGGCGACAACGCAATGTTAGAATGACAATCTGCCTAGAGTATCGAATTCCGGACACCCGAACAACACCATCATGACCGTGCACAGGGCAGCAAAGGGTAAAAAAAGAAAGCAGCTGGAGAATTTTTGGTGGCTCGCTAAGAACGACATCGGGCCGATTGTCTCCTTTCCATTTCCGAAGGTCRGTCATGACTGCGTCATGAGTCACCAGTGGGCCGAACTCAGGGCAGTACGGACTCCCATCAGTCCATTTCACCGTTTCATCAAACATTCTACCACTGGGGGCAGATGGATTGTTGCCAGGCAGGGTACTTGTACCCTGTCTGATGCATGGACGAGGACACGAGGCAGCTGAGCTGCCGAGGGACGAGTTTCGCACACATTCTGCGGCAGGGGTGCCCTGCGGCAGTTTGCCAATCTTAGTTCTGCACCAGTCGAGCAAAGTCTCGAGGACATCGGTCGACGTGATATTCGCTCCCCTTTCCGTTGCTAGTCCCCTCGCTACGTTTTGGAAGCGTCCCAGCATGGCCCTGGAAACGGTGATCGTGCTCCTGTGGGGGGATGATGAACAGGGCGTAGCAGTATGTGGGAACGAAGGCGGAGGGGACGTGGGACGTGCAGTGCTTGGAGGCGGGGGAAGACTGCTCCCACAAGAGCAACATCTGTTTGAAACTGGGATCGGGGGAGGAACTATTTCCTCGTTCCCATTGACGGGGAGACCGCCACTCGACTGGATCGGACCCCCCACCGACGGCCGTGCTTGGACGCCCGAATGTCCACGTTGCCTTTTGCCTGCGGATGTTTCGCGATATGCGGGGGGCGACCGGGACTCGTCGTGCGATTGCGAAGGTGCGGACATGACGTTGAGAAGACGAAGAAACTGTGTGTGTGTGTGTGTGTGTGTG